CGAGGGACAGGGCCTCGCGGGGGGCCCGGCGGCGGCGGGAGCGTGGGGGGGACTGGTGCTGTTAAAGCTCGCCGTTTCTCTGCGAGCGGAAAGGATCTCGCAAAGCAGACCCCCTGCGAAGAGCGCTCGCTGGTTTTCCTCCTCCCCACCTTGTCTTGAGATAGCGGTAGTTTGATCATCTCATTAAAGCAGTTCAGATTAAGACTTTTCTGCACCTTAACGTACTCTTACATGCACAATGCGTGTAATAAATACGAGCTACATTAAACAGGTTATTTCTTCGCTTTCAGAAAATATTGGTGTTCGTTTACAAATTAATGCATGCGAGTGTATCTTAAATGTGCTAAATCATTCACTGCGTTTGATACGTGGTTTTAGTATACAGTTGTTTGAGTAGATTAATATTTTTGCGTATCTCTAGCTTTTGTTAGAATTTCCTACCAGTACATCATGACATACTTTTTAGTACTGATGCTTTTAGTGGTGAAACATGTAGACAGCCTAAAGAAGATTCTTCTGTAACTGGGAGGTTCAGTAGGAAAAGCTTACAGGGCTTTATCTGACCATTACTGTATTTTGTTTGACCTTTTCTCCTTCCTCTTTTTTATGGTCACTTTTTTTTTTGGTCACTGAGTATAAATGACTCATTTAAATATCACAGGCTTCTGTTAACCATTCTCTCAAAGTTTTGAAAAAATAATGCACAAATCTGTATTTATTGCCTTAGCAATAAACAGTAAGTCAGCATGTGATGTCTATATGTGTTGAAAGTATAATAATCTTTTCTTTCATTGAAGCTTTTGACTTTCTTTTCCAGGCTGTGGCTTCACTGCCTGAAGATATGAGACCTGGTCCTGATCTGTATGGTTTCCCATGGGAAATAGTGATTTGTGCTGGCGTTGTTGGTGTCTTTACAATTTTCCTGTTTCTGTACAGAGGTTATCAGTCAGTAAGTACTGAGTTACATAGAGATATTTAGGCCATATTAGTATTTGTAACCATTGAAATTGTTGCTCTGTTCCTTTCAAGTTATCTAATGTTGCAGGGTTTTATGTCTCCTGTGATTGAATTTAGAATTCCTCTAAAAGAGGAGAGAAGTTGGTATGTAGCCTATTTTGTCAAGAGGGTAAGTGCTTGGATGTTTACTGAATGACTGTTGTTAGAGGAAATGAAATAAAATTAACTGTAGTAAGGCTTCCTCTTTCTTTCCTTTTTTAATTTCTACACCAGACTTGCAAAACCAGTCCTTAAATTATTTTCACGGAGTATGAAATTGGGTGTATCTGTTGCTATATATATTGATCTCAGACTGTCCATAGTTATATCCAGGCCAGGACATTCTTAGATCGGGACGTTCTTAGATCTTTCAAGACAACTGTAAGAAAAAGCAATCTGAATGGATGCTTATCAAGGAAGGCCTTCTAAAACACCTTGGACATACGGATTGCTGTACATTGTAATACTGCTCTGATTTTACTTTGTGTGTTTTGTGAACTGTAAGCTGATGAGTTTGAGAAACGTAGTATTGAAATCTTCTATCACATAAATCAGATAGTGTTTGTGTGGAAAGGTTTATCTTAGATGATGAGTAAGTTCTGATCTGCCTACCTAACTCTTCCCTGCTAATAAAAATGGTCACTGTCCGTAATTCAGTGTACTAAATTTCTCCTCAATGTTTGCATGATCTTGACTAGCTGGAGTGTGATTTTGGTGCGAGGTGTAACAATTCCTGTGTTTTAAGATAGGATGCATAGTATTTTAGTTTTTCAGGTGTGAAAACCTGCCTTGTTATTAAAGTTTCTAACATCCGCTTAGATCTGGAAAAATACCACCTGGTATTTTCAAGAGCAGGGTCCATATTTTCAGGGGGGTTGATATTTGTGTAAGTTAACCTATCTGTAATTTTGAGTCATTCCTTCTGCTTTCTAGTTTGTCTTGGTAACTTTGTTTTCTTTAAAATTGCCATTCTATTTGATTGTATTAGGTTGTATGAATAGGAAGGAAACAGGAGGGTCTGAGTTAGTTGAACTCTTTAGCATTAGTAGTTTCCACAAAAGATGTCAGTCTGTTTAGTCTTTGATCTTGGATATTTTGTGTGGCTAGTAGTATGTCGATGTAAGGCTATTTCTTTTATTTAAATGTCATTGATGCAGAGACTCGGTGAACATACGCCACAGTCTTAAGCATGCAAAACCAGTGTGTTCTTAATGTAAGTTCTATGCTGCCTTGTCATCCCATAAGAGCACAAAAAGACCAAAGCGGACATCAGACTTTTACTATCAGTTAGATGGTATTTAAGGCTGTGTTTAAGGCTTTCTCAGTCACGTACAGTTTCGTAAAACTTGCACCTTTCTCCTGACTTTCGTCATCTGTAAGATTACGTGAACTGATTATTGATTGCAGGCTATGTTCTATATCTTATTCTGCCCAACATAATTTTTTTTTTTAAATAGGAGTGTTTAACAAGAGGGACCTGAAATCCTTTGAATTTGTGCTCTTTTGATCCTGCAGTGGAATGGTTCCTTTAAGATAAAACTCCCAACTAGTTAGGAATATCATACAGAACATCTAGTGTGCTTCTCAGTCTGTGGGTGAATATGTAACTAGAAGATGCAAAGTTCTGTACTAAGACCTTTGTTACTTTCTTCAAAACATGAAGTAATGCTGAGAAGGCAACTTCCATGATAGCTTTCCTGGACTGCAGGAACTACCCACTGCCTACCCTAGTAAGGAAGGAAGTTTTGGTGAATAATCTAACAGTAGTCTTAACATCAGTAGCTTTTGAGCTAGAGAATGTAAATACATTACCCATCCTGTTTCAGTACAATATTTTCAAACCAGGATTTTACTTAACTAAGCTTGCAGCAATCATGCTTTGATGTCTTAGATGTTGGTTGATTGATAAATGTTGACAGAGTGCTTCTGGAAAAGCAGGAAACCTTCCACTGAAAAGGTTGAGCTCCTCCTAAAGACCAAAAGAAAAAAAATCAATGCTGTGAGCAACCCAAAACAGTTAAGTGGTTTGCAAATTCAATTTCACTGTGATGCGAAGTCACAGTAAGTTCATAGTGATTGCAGCCACAAAAAGTCTCATTTTAACTGCACTTGAGGATCATTTACTGATCTCAGAAGTCCTGAAGCTTGTCTGCATGCTGCACTTAAAGCAGAGTGGATTTACATTTAAATCTGTTGCCCTCTTAGAAGATATCATGGCATGTCTCCTTTGTCCAGTTTGTTTGTTTCTCTTTTCGTAGTCAAAGTATGAAGGTTCTTGCTTTATATGAGGGCTTTTATATTTAGTCTCCAGGTACAAACCTGATCTGTGAATAGGGCCTCAATGCTATTCAAACTGTGTGAAAGTTTCTTTGAATCTTCTGCCAAACAGTTTTTTTTTTCTTTTGATGAAAGCAATCTTTCAGCTTGCTGTTCCCCTGGCATAGAGCATAGCTGAGCTTGAGATCCTTATAGTTGCGTTGTTTTACCTGCTCCTCTGCTGGAATGAGGGGTGTTGAAACAACACTGTGAGCTTATTATTGTGATTACAGAACTTTGTATGCACTGTTTATTTACCTCACCTCCTCCCCAAAGCCGCATGCAATGTAACATTTGTGGAAGAGTCTGTCAAATTTTGAACATGGTTACAGACTTCCTTTATTGCCATAACAGACTTGAGCCTTCCTAGTTGTCTTTCGCTTCTCTGGCTATATCTGTTCTATCAAAAGGTTAGTCCTTCTGAGGACAGAGAATGTCCGAGGAGACTCAAATGTTGCATTCTTCCTTACTGGAAGCGTCTGGCAGTTGTCATCTGAGTTTCAGTGCTCCCCATATAGGCAAAAGATACTGGCTTTATCTGTTTCAGGAACAGGTCATTCTGAGATTAGTAAGCAGCATCTCTCTGGATGGTAAGAAAAAGGAGTTTCAGCTGAAATCAGTTAAGCAGCAACGAAAGTATTGTTTTCCTGCATGTGGCGCCTGATTTATCACTAAGGTATTAAATATTTAAAAAATTATTGACAACTTCATTGGTCTTGGAACTGTGCTGGAACTGTACCAACTACTCACTGAAGAATGAATGGTTACTTATTCAGGAGTAATGAGGTTTTGTTTTGTTTTTTGGGGGGATGATGGTGATAGGTATGTATATGACCTTCCTCCCACTTCTACTTCTTGGACTCCTTGGTGATCCTGCGGCTTTGAGAAGGGAACTGAAGGAAAAATGTGAGAGGCCCTCGTATGTCAGGTGCATCATCCAGCCTGGCCCTGAGAGGAAAGCAGTGTTGTAAAGTTCTTGTGGGTTCAGCCTACTTCTGCCTATTTTGTCCAGGCCAGTTGTGACAAATTTTGTCTTGTGATTTGCTAGATCTTGATTCTAGGGCACATCTAGATCTTTTGATCTCGTATGGACAGCTGCTGATTTGGCACTTCACCCAGAGCTGCGCCTGAGCTGCTCTGACTGTTAGGTATTGTATGTAAAATGTGTAAGTTTTTTTTTGGTCCTATAAGCAGTTAAGTCTGAGCTGTCATGTAGCCCCTCTCTCTTTGTCCTCCCTTTTTCCTACCCCTTCGGCCCTGCATGACCATAATACTGGTTTGCATAATGGACATGCAGGGCTATCTGATGACTATACAGAGAGGTGGGTCATGAAAGTGCTCCAGGTGAAAACTAACCTCCTTTCTCCCTCCTCTCCTCTCTATTTAATTGGAGTTGGAGAAGGACAAGAACACCACAGCCGTGAAGGGACAGAGTGGAGGATGGGCTTGCTGATTTTTACAGCAGCCTGTATTTATATTTTATTCTTAAGTTTGGCGATTAAACTGATTATGGAAGCACGACATAAAAAATGAATTTTCAGATACTGTGTACAAGTAATTCCTCAGACATATTTTCAGCATTTATTCTTTTTGTTTCAGGTTAGAAGTCGACTTTATGTAGGTAAGCTTATTGCTCATGCTGTTTCCTTGGAGCGTGATTTTACCTCTTTTTTTTCCTTTTTTACTACTTTTAATTATTTGAATATTGCAACATTTAGCCATCTTTCTTTTTTAGGAAGGGAAAAACAGCTTGCTAGTGAAATTACTGAACTCATTGATGACAAATGCAAAATGCTTGAGAAACTCAGCCTTTGCAAGAAAGAGGTAATATTCCTCACTTACTGCTATCTTTTCAAATGTCTCACTTGACAAATTGAACCAATTTCTATATTTAAAGTGTTAAGCCTAAAAGTAAGGTGCTTAAAGCTTTTAAGTGATTTTTTCAAATGCTTTTTTGTCAGTGTATTTTAAGTCTGATTAAGGTGTTAGTGAGTTCTGTCTTAAAGCTTAATACAGTATAGTGCACTGGAAATAACTTTAAAATGTTTTATGCTGCTGTGATAACCTACTGGGGCTAAACTTTTCCTGATTTCCAGCAACATATATGCCTGAATATTTAGATTGTGGTTATATTTCAGACTAGAGCATCACAAATTAATTCTATTAATTAAGCAATTTTTTGCATACATTCTGACATAAAGTATCTCTTTCAGTTTGAAGACTTAGAATCATCTCTGAAGGATGAGAGCTTTGTTAAAGAATCAACAGATGCGTCTTTTTTTGAGGTAGGAACATGAAGTTGAGACCATTTCTATAATTTAAGGCAGTGTTTTGGGAAAATTCTGCATACGTAAGAAAAAAAACTTAATTGTTTCAATTTAGAGTATTGTTTTGCTAATCCTGTCTTTCTGAAAGTGGCGTACAAGCAAGACATTTAAATGAAGAAAAGTTTATGTAAGGATTGCAGTAGAAGTGGAATGGATCATCTGAAAAAACTTTTTTTTTTTTTTACGCTAGAGCAAATCACATATCGAGCAATGTTAAATTGCTTACCGCTCTTTCTGTAGAGATAGCACAGTGCATGAAGTATGTTTTCACATGTCTGATGTGATTTGAATATATCTTGTAACCTACTGGTGCAGTAAAACAAAAAAAAAAAATTACTGGTACTTTTGAGTAAGAAATACCCATGAACACAGAATAACTTGAATCATAACAAAAATTGGATGGAACTACATTGTTTAGACCCCCCAAACTCAGAATATACTTGTAAAAGAGTTCCAAAAAAGGTGAATCAAATATCTAATGGGTTATTTCCAAATATAGAACAAGCAAATAGATTTATTTCATTCTGCACCTAAGATCCTATAGAGCTAGTTGTTACGTGTTGTTAAAATGCAAGAGGCTACAGTTCTTTGAGATTTATTCTCGATGTGATGATAGCTGTTAAAAGTACTTTGTCATTTTATACTAAAATTATATTTAAAACATACTTGTCTTTTTATGTAGTTAATGTCAACTGTGTTATGCTAACTGTCAAAATAACGTGATTTAGGAAATGCATGAAAAATTGAACAAGTCAAACTTGGAACTCAACCAAGACATAGAGAATCTTGAAAAAGAACTGGAAGAAGAAAAATCTAAGCAGTCAGAAAATGATAAATTGGTAAGAGTAAAAATAACACAGTCTTTGTTGCTACTCAATACATAAGGTATTTTTTCATGAGAAAACATTCTCTATGGAAAAGACAAACTACTCTGTTTTTTTGTTTTAAATAAATTAAAAACTACATTTCCCCTTTTGTCTCCATCCAAACTCACTGTATCTTACTAGAAAAATGGAATCCATAAAGGAAAATGCTCAAAAAAACCCCTAGTTTTTACTGATGTGGTAGTAGAAGTCTTCTCATCTTGAAAATTAAAACAGTTTTAATGGTTGCCTAGACCAGTCAAATCTGTAGAAGAACTTCTATGAAAGCTAATTATTTTCAGGTGGCTGAAATTCAGAAGAGAGTGGAGTCTTTAGAGAATGAAGCAAAATCTATCCAATCACAAGTTGCTGAGGTATGTCAACGCTTTATATTTTTTCTATTCTCCATGTAGTTACTTTATATAGTTTTGTCCATGAAGAGTGCCTAAATAATATGCTGGGTAAACCAAAAGACTCTTTAAAGCTTAGTACTCTTGTGCAGCTTGATTTAGTAATTTAAATTTCAGATAGTGGGGTGCCATTTGTTGGAAAGTACAGGTACCCTGTATTCTCTTTGCCTTGTTACTCCACAGTGATACATAGTGCCACACCAAGAGCTAAGTTGCGGAAAAAATTTAAGAATACATGCATAGCACAGTCAGAAAAATGAAATATAAACTCCAGTAATGCCACTGTGACCCCGTTTTATTATATCATCAAATGTCCTGTTGAAACAACATACTTTTTCATTTCTCTTAGGCCAAGTCCACCCTAAAAGTATTTCAGATTAATACAGAGAGACTCAAGACATCTGTTCAAGATGCAGTAGAGGAAAACTGTCATCTCCAGGAAAGAGAGAAACAGGTAGGTTCTTTCCTGAGAAATTTCGTATTTTCCTACAGTGGTATGTAAATATGACTTCTCCAAGGAGCTCATCCACAATGAGTTTTTTGATACTGCTTGAGCTTTACGGTAAGTAGGAAAAAAAAAAAAAGAAATTTAAAAAGAAATTAAATAAATGTGTTTGTGGGAAAATATGCATAGAGATCAGTGAGAAGGAGAACACGTGCTACGGTAAGATTAGTAAGAAAAAAGTCTGAGACCTGGAAGAAAACGGAGAGATTTGAGTTAAGTCCACAGCTAAGATCCTCTACAGAGGCAAATGGCAAATGCAGAAAACATTTGCAAACAGAAAACAAAACAAATGGCGAAATTGCAGTGTGTCCAAAAGGTAGATGAGAAACATAGTGTAGTATCCATATGAATGAGCTGGTGGAAAGTCACATAAGTAGTATGAAGGTACAGAAAGGACTGTTACTACTTGAATTTTAGCTGTTTATTTTCCACAGTGTTAGCCAGACCCCAAGAATGATTATTTTGAAATGCTTAGCATGTTTAATAGTTGTCCTGTGCAATAACTAGTTTTACAGTGAAAATATGCCATCTTTTTTTTTAAACATGAAATGTTCTGTGGAATGTTCCGTTTTCATGGGAGTTTGCTTACTTTCATGCCTGACTGATCTCCTTGTTGTCTCTCAACAGTATCCCCCCCCC